GAGGATTTCTGGGAGTTAGAGGCCAGCTTGAGCTACACACTGTGTTCAAAGGTCAGGCTGAACTATGTAGCAAAACCTTGTCTCAAAAGAAACAAAAAATACCCACACAAAAATTAAGCATTAACAGAATAATTATGTATATTTACTATAAGTCCAAATGCGTACAATGATTTCAGATAATCACTATTTGAAAAGTTTAAGGTATATGTAACAGAAAAGGCTAATAGGAATGAAATAGAGATTGAAAAATCAATGATATAAATACTCATTTCAAGAAACTACAAAGAGAAAAGCATATTAAACCCAAATAGAGAAGAAAATAATACAGGATATTCAAGATTTGGAGGATTTCACATTGGAAAAGATACCAAATTAAGCTTCATATGCAATGCAGTCCTAACTGAAATCTCAGCAGATCTGTGTGTATTCATGGATGTGTGGAGATATTCAAGCTGACAAAGGCCAATGGCTTTAGATAGCTAGGTGGGTAAGTAGGGTCCCAGTCACATAGAGGACTGCTGATCTTGTTAAGGAGTGGGAAATTTATTCTTAAAGTAAACAGGGAACAATGAAGGGTCTTTAAGCAGAAGAGCAATGTGATTTGCATTTTTAAAAACCTATTGCCCACATGTAAGGAAAAAAGCAAGCATAAAAGACATTGTCATAATCTGGAGACATGATTGTAACTTTTTCTGTTGTAAAGGCAATGGGATAGAAAAGAGTAGAAAGATTCAAAGCCTACTTAGGTTTTTTAAGAGTTTGAATATGTACAAATTGGCAGAGGGTAGAGTCATGGATAATGCTTATGCTCCCAATTTGGAAAATGGCTAGTGTTGAATTTTGAGTCATACGAACGTAGTCTTGTGACTTTCTCTTACAGTTTCATGCAGTCCAGGAGGAATGGAAGTGGCGTTTATGGACTTGTGTAGTGATTGATAGAAAGGTTGGAAGGCCAGACATTCCAAGATGTAGCAAATGCATAGCTAAAATAGGTGATCTTGAGGCCCAGGCTACTTACAAGGCAAATGAAATGTAATTTTAAAGAATATAACTTGAGAGAACTGAGAAGTATCAGTGGGAAGTTGTATGTATCAGTGGAATGTATCGGAAAGTAAAATTAATGGAAGGGAAAAGGAAGTCATAAAAATACAGATTAAGTATTTCAAAAACAGAGAATCTGAGGGTAACATCTTTGAAAGGGTATTTACAGTGTGGTAAAGCTTAGTCTGAGGATGACTGAGTTACTCTTTGATAAACTGGAGGTCATTGAAATTTTAAATGGCCAGAGAATTGTGAGCTCTAGAAGGTACTGGTTTTTGACTATCAGTAACAAAGACTCCAAAAGTGATTGCAAAAGGTAAGACATAAAAGACTTGAGAGCCAAATACTATTATCAGGTCAATATGCTCTTTTAGAAAAAGCTATGAAGATTGAAAAAGGTCCGGATTCACTGATGGCAAGAATTGTATTTCATTGATCTGTGTCTTTTTTTGTGCGTGAAAGATAGCAAGTGCACAACAAATACTAACTGAACAGACTCCGTTGCTCTTTATCCTATAGAAATTCATGCTTACACATGGCATATTAGGTAACTATTTCAAATTGAAAGATCAAGGGATACAGAGGTAATCTAAAAAATAGCAATAAGAACAAAGAAGATCAGGGGAAATTATATCCCAGGTAGTGAAAAGATCATGTCCAGGAATGAATGTGGCAGGTTTAAGAAGTAAAGATGGCTTGGGTAGTATTTTAGTCATCAAGTGAACACAGCATGGTAATGATTAGGTTAGACAAAACCCAAGTCATGTACAGCATTATAGATAAGTTAACTTGAATGCTATACTAGGTGAGACGAGGAACCATGGAGTGGTAGTTAAGAAATGGATTAATTGGATCTGTTTACTTGAATCTATTGCACTAACATTATTAAACTTCATCCCCAGTCTTATCTCCCATTACTACTCTTCATACAAATCAACTTATGATTTCATATTCATGTTTTTCTGTCTGTCTCTTCATTGTCATTGTATGTGAGGGGCTCTCCACCTGGAGTAATATCTTGTCCTTTGATTTATGTCCTTTAAGGTCAGCCTAGAATGATATGTACTCCAGAAACCTTTTCAAATTTCCATGGCAAGAAATAATGAACTTCTTTTGATGAACTTATACATTTAGAAAATTCATTTGGTCTTTTAAGTAGAATTTAGACAATGCATGTGAAAAGTAAGATATCAAGTAAAATTACCATTACTATTTAAATGGTATTTCTACATATCTCCCAACAGTGTTTTTTTTTTTTTTTTTTTTTTCATACCAGGGATCAAACCCACAACCTTACCAAGAAAGTGCGTGAGTCACTGAGCTAAATCCCTGGCCCTAGTTATATATATATCTCATCTTTTGTGAGACAATTTATAATCATGCATTTATTCCACAATTCCTGACACAATGCCAGAGACTGAGAAAGAGAAAGAGAATTAAATTGAATTAAATTTTGGAGGAAAAAGGAATCACAGTCAGTTAAACTGGAATACAAATTACCATAACCCATGGTGGGGAGGGGGAAAAGAAAAAAATTTTTGCGATGTGTGTGTATATGTACCAATTCCCCCGAATGAATGCAATCATTATGTAGTATAAAACATGCACTAATAAAAATTTTTTTTAAATTATCACAACCCAGATTTGCTAAGAGCAACTTAGGCTTCCTTCAGGTCAGACAAAGATTATGTTTTCATGTTGGTTTTTATAATAAAGGACGTGTCACATATTAAATCACATTTTCTTAGCTTCCCAACATTTCACAGGTAACCTGTCTCATTGTCTGTATATCCTCATTTTCCCTTAGACCCCCGCACTCCATTCTTCAACTATTTCTCTAAATGCAGTCAATTCCTATGAAATGTTATCCAATTCATGGCTTTAAATATTATTTGTATGACAATGACTCTCAGTTTCTATTTCTAACCTGAATCTTTTACCTGAACATCATATTCATATAAGAAATTGTCATCCTAGAAAAAAAAAGAAACTGCCAGCTTCATGTTTCCAGTTGTCTGCCAATCACATTTGAAACTCAACATATCAAAGCAAAATGATTACTTTAAAACTATCTTTAGCTTTTTTAATTCCATAAGATTGAACTCTAATTCATCTTCACTATATCTAAATCTAGAAATTAGCATTGGTTTATTTCTTTAAAGCTTCATTTCCAGCCACATTCCAATCATTTCAGTTTCAAGTTTAATTTCAAGTCAAACTATTTCTCTAACTCCACTGTTAGCGTTGGGGCACAATTATAGTGTAAGGGTACAATTATATGATCAGTAAAGCCACAGCTGTAGGATAACAAATTTATAGACATGCTACAGCAAGTTAAAATCAAATAGTAGCCTTTGCCTATGCTTCTACTGCCTGCCATGTAAACCTCCTGTTGAATTCAGTCAGCCTTGACTGTCTGGATCCAGCTACTTTTCTTCTGATAATGCACTGGGCCAATTTGACTATTCTCAGCTTATATTTCCCTTAATAAGAAAATATATTGCTTCTAACTGATTTCAAGACCTTGGTGGGGGCAAAGTAACCCAGTCAAAGATCCTTTTTAACTCTGCTTCTTCCACTTGAACCCTCTTCCGTCACCCTCAGGATGTCCCTATGTTATGATAAGCAATTCCTTTTAAGTGAGTGTATTTATAGTTTTCCTGATAATATATTACTTGCTTCAGTCCATGTAACCAATCATGTGATGCCTTGTACTTCCTGCTTGTAAACTGTATTTAAACTGGATGCAAAGCTGGCTCTTGGCTAGTGATTTGGACTTGGTCCCAGTAGCCCACTAGCATAATAAACAGTTGTCTTCTAACTCCTTGGTACAGTCTTCCATCTGGTTTGATACTGTTTTTGCAACAGTAGTACTTGTCTAAGCCATGATCATCTTTTGCTTGGAGTATTGCAAAAGCTCCCTATCTGGATTCCTGCTTCTACTCCCTTTTATTTTTAGATAATTCTCCATTCAGCAGCTAAACTAAAACAGAGAACCAGATTATGGCACACTCATTTTAAATCTCTAATGGTTTCACATCTCATTTGGAATAACCTCAAAATATCTTATCATGGTCATAAGACCTCCACATGATCTGATCCTTAACTTCCTCTTTATCTGTTACCTCTTTCTACACTATCTCTATTGCTTTTCCTCATTACACCATGACTTCCTCAAAACCTCTGGACTCTCCAGGCTCTCCACAGTCAGTCAAGAAAAGCAGGCTAACTTTGAGAACACACGTAGTAGAATATTTAGCTTCATTTCTCCATTCTAAGTAACTATTTTTTACCTGAAATGCAATAGTTAAGATTAAAGTGTCTTAGGATGTGATGTCTGGTGTCAGGTACAACATTTCAGAAGTTGTCTGACTGGAAGAGCCAGCACCTGCAATTCTCCAAAAAAAAAAGCACTCTGTAAAAACAAGTAAGGTAACATTAGATGTTTATGGAAAGTACATTACAGTGTATGCTTACCTGAATCTTACCCATATATAATACATTTGTGAATTCCATTCCTTGAGTTAACTGACGGAGAAATGAAAGGGAGAGCTATGCCTTGTGAGAAACTATTACAGGGATCAAGAATTTTTAGCTTGATGAATGCTAAAGGAATTCACAGTAAGGGAAAGTCCTTCCCAAATAGCTGTGAATCTACCATCAGAAAGAGGGTGTTATGCTTATTCTTGTTTGCTATAAAGGAGAGAACCAATAGTAAGTTTCAGAGAAGAAGGTGTAGCATAAGATTGACAAACATTTCTGTGGAAGCTAGTGTTCTTTAGGACACTGAAGCACATTACATGCACCACCATGCCCAGCTCTAACAGAGATTTTAGCAGTCTTTTGTCAACAAGTGACAGAGCAAGGATATTTAAAACAAAGTGCCTTTAACACAAGATATCTCAGAATCTTTAATATGCAAATATTGTGAAGATGATATGCCTCACTTCCCAAACATATTTGTTCAATGCCACTTTTATTTGTTCATCAGTTTTATTCATATAACAGTATTAATGTCTCTTGAAACAAAATTATGAAAGAGTTTGGGTTAAGAGGGTTAAAAATGAACAAATTGTCTTCTAAAGAAGTAGAGACAAGTTCATATCAAGATGCCTGGAAAAACTGGATGCTGTCATTGGTACTTTTGTTCTTCTGAAATCTTGATCATTAAAATGGAATGATATAAAGCTTGGGGAAATAAATAGCAGATGCCTACTCTTCCAGTCAGACAGCTTCTAGAATTTTGCATTTGGTTCCAGGTATCTCATATTAAGATACCTCACTCTTAATTGCTGCATTTTGGGTAAAGAATAGTTACGTGGAACAAAGAAACCAGTAGGGTGAAAGGATAGAGCTGTGCCTTGTGAGCACTTATAGGAATCAAGAATCAAATTTTCTTACCTGTTACATTATTAATGCTGTGAGACTAACCCAGCTTTTGATGGGACTGGAATAAAAAGCATGAAAACAAACTTTCTAGTACAGAGATTTTCAACATTTTCTTTTGGTGAGACAGTACACGGTCATAATATTCCCCACATGTGTGCTTGATTCATTCACTATACGCAAGGTAAGGTTTCTCATTTTTTCATTCATATACACAAGCAAAACCTTTCTGTGCGCTATTCACAGATTTTGACACACAGTTTGATAAAATCTTCATGCAAGACTACACCCTTTCATTCGGTATCACCACTTAGAACTTCAAACTCAGGCATTAATATTAGCGTTTTTTAAGCAGTCAAAAAATTTTCAAGACTAAAGGAAGGAATGATATTTCAAAATTATGGGAAAAGTAAACCAGTAAAAACTTCAAAATAAAGCTACAACTTTGAGGCTAGGTACAAAAACTTAAAAAAGGAAGGTTGCATTTATAAAAACAATGCTGGTGACAATTTGTTTCAATAAGCAAGACAAGATATAATCAGTAAAAGCAGTCCTGGAAATAAGATTAGGTTGCAAAATTATGTTACTCGCCATACAATTATTTATTGAAAGGAATAGTCTGTGGCTAAAACATTATAATCCTGGAAGGAATGTTCACCACAGAAGAGTGAGTGACTGACCAGGATTTCTACAATTTATGGAATAAAAAGTGTGAAAACAAAGTCTTGTTTTCCCAGACTATATTTACTCATACGTATTATTTTCAGTATGGTTTCTTAGATCTATTAGTACTTAGAAAGGAGTGTTTCAGTAAGTATATATAATACTATGGCAATCAGATGCATTTGTAGATGTGTATTATATAACATGTTCATAAAATAGCATTTTTCCTTCTGCCATAAAAGACCTTATCAAACACAGAGAGCTGAGAAGCCAGCTCCCAAACCAGATCTATCTACCATACACCATCTTTGAGGTTCTTGTCAATGGCACAACTACAGTGCTGATAAAGCAACTTGAAATACCATGTTTTTATTTTCCACTTTTGCCCCTAAAACAACATCCCAAAAGGTGGGTTCATCAGTTCTAAATGGCAGGGACCTATGAAGGAATCACACATAACTCTGCATACCCACCAAGATTAATCTTAACTACACATCTGAATTTTTGTGGCCATTTGAGACACCAGGCCAGCTTGAACTACACTATAAAGGATTTAATGAGTTTGCGAATAAACAGGAAGACTTAGAGTATAGGCGCCTTGTTTAAAGATGAACTGCAAACTCCATTCCTAAAATAGCTCTCTCCTATAAGAGAGGTGGATGAGATCAGCTCAGATATGATGCTATGTGTCTCTACTAACCCATTTTGGAGAAACAAATGCTTGCTGATGAGGGATGACCAAGACCATGGCCAGGAATTAGGATCAGTGCTGGGGATCATCAGAGCTTTGTATTCTTGGTCTCTAGGTTGACCATGTTCCCTTGCATATGAAGATGATGCTTATTTGCTGGCACATGAATCTCCGCTGAATTTACAGGAACATAGTAGTAGCTCATGATGGAGAAGATTAGGCAGACCAACAGCAGAAGGCAGGAAAACAAAGTGAATTCAGCCCACTGTAGAAAGAAAAAAACATAAGCGAAGAATATGGGGAAAACTGAAACAAAAGTTATCTATACAGAGTAGGAACTGTGGAGTAGATTGGATGCAGCATTATTTAGATTTTCTGGAATAACACTGGGTACACTGGCTTTTCCTCAGATGGGCTTTACGATGGTCACTATTTCCACCTACAAATGTCTATTTTTTGATAGAGTCTGTGTATCTAACCAATTCACACTATAACAACGAGAGGGAGATAATGGCTACAAAGAGATGGGGGAGAGGGACAGGAAGGAAAAGCTTTGGTTAGACGTACAATGCTGTTTTCCCCAGATTCATACCTGCACCAGGCCACTGAACTGCGCGACAATAAGCACGATGATATTCCCAAATGCAACTGTCAACAACCAGGCTGCCTGGAGTACAGATTTCATGCTAGATGGAGCCTAAGAAGGACATCAGTGTGTAAGTAAACAAACTATAGCACTCCCTGCCCCATGAGCCTATGTGGGCAATTTCTCCTACAAAATTTTTCAGATTTGAACTTCCCTTACTAAATTCAGTCATCACATTGATCTGGAGGGCTGCAATAGTGTTAAAAGTAAGAATAAAATACAGCTTTTAATTCACTATATTATGTGATCTTTATATTATATATATTATATATTATATAATATTATGTGATCTTTATTGTAATCCTAACATATAAGTTCCATTGGTTTTACTAAAATCTAAGAAAAATAGCATAAAGCAAAGAAAGATAGCAGTAGCAAGATGATGTTTTACTTGTACAGGTTTCCACAGTAAGTCAGGACGTCAAAATTTGAACTTGGATAGTCTACATCCACAGCCCTTCCTCTCCATCATTAAGTGTTCTTTTCTAGAACCCAAGTAACACAGACTCCTTTGCTGTACTATGATTATCTTGGGAGTCAAGATGAATGTTCAGGGTCATATACAAAGAACCCAAGGCCAAAAGAGATGGAGATCTTGGCTGGGGACACATGACCATTTGAGGCAGTGCCAATAATTAAAACCCACTATTATCTTTCAAACAATGTCACCTCTTCCACTTTCATTTACAAAATCTTACCTGAGAATAAGAAAACTCAAGTCCTGTGACAGAGAACATGACTTCTGCAGCTGTGACTAGGGCATACTGTGGTAGCTGCCATGCAATGGACATTGGGTTGGTAAGAATGTTTTCTATCTTCCAAGCCTGCAGGCCTTTGTCAGTGACCTAATTGAAAGAAAGAGGAAATGAGATTTGTCAGCAGTCTCAATTACATACAATAGTATTCTAGAGGTCTATGTCCACCTCTTTATTCTTATTCTTCTACTACTTTCAAAAGACTAAAGTTCTATACAATGCCAGCACTTTCAAATTTTTTACTTGACTTCAGTAGGTTAAAAGTACTTGAGATTGAGTATTTCATGTCCTTGTGCCTTTAATTTTGAGTCAAAAGGCAATTTGGGTTCAAGAGCATAAGGTAAAGCCATTCTGTTTTTAGTTGAGAATGTAAGCAAAATCTAAGAATCTGTTTGTGCTCTCTCATCATAAAAGACTATGACCAGAGTCAAAGAAATTAAGATGAATGTGATTAACAAAGACTATGATAAGCTGGATACCACAGATATTTTATTTTCCAAACCCATTATATTTCAGAGAGAGAAAGAGAAAAAAGAAAACAATCAAAAAATACCAAAAAAAACCCCAAAATTTCAAAGCATATTAACCAGGGGGCACTCATGATACATACACTGTGCATTATTGTCCCCAAATTACTCACCCGGAGCACAAAACATAGCATTTAATTGTCCGAACAGTACCAGCACAAATCATTCTCTTCAGTGAACTCAGAAAAATGAGTAGTATAACTATCTCAACTATCTTTTTATATGCATATATACATACATATATATATATATATACAGCACCATGATTTTAATCAATTAATAAAGGAACCAGGAGGATGGTAGACCAACATGAATTTGAGAAACTGGATTGAGGTAGCTAACTTCTAAATCTAGAAAGGACATATGTATAATTCCTGGAATTCTTCTGGATAGAAATTGTCTCTCAGCAGGATAAATACAGTCAATATTTAATATTTGTATTTCCCATATCTGCAAATTTGCCTACTCACTACAATTTATTTGTAACCACAAAATCAATACTGAAGCCACTTTTGTGATCACTTAAGTACTTGAACTGGGGAACAAACTTTTAAGCTACCTAATGTACACATTCCTACCTAAGACTGCAAAAGGTTATTTTACCTTCTTTTAACTATAAATATTCCCTTTGTGGTCTACTTAGTGATGTTTTTTCACTTATATTCTTTTTCTTGGTGATTTCACTGTTTAAAATTGCACAGCGCTGAAACAGTCTAGGGTTTGAAATGCAAGAAAGCTGTGATGTGACTTACAGAGAAAATCTGTGTATTACGTAAATTTTGTGATGGTATGAGTTATAAGACTTCTCGTAAGGTCGATGTACGCATCAACGATACCTATATTAGTATGGAGTCTTTAAATAGAAACACACATAAAACAAGGTTATGTGTTCATCAGCTGAGTCTAGATGCTCATAGGAGACTAACTTTGTATTTCCTATAGAAGCAGTATTTGTGTTTGTTTTTTTTTTATTTTGAAAAGAATAAAACCAAGTGAGGAAAAAAATGGGGTCATTCAAAACAAAAGGATGGACATAGTACATAATTTAAATCACAATATAAGGTCATCTACAGTGGTTACTATGATGTCTCTTGCTATCTTCAATAGAATTATCTACATCATCAGGCATAGTATAATTGAATATAGCAATACATAACAATATTAATAAAAATAAAACACTGGAGACATTATAGGACTTCAAAAGCAGGTAATAATCAAACCAGAATGGGTAGCCTAGTGAATCTTGTCATCTTCAGAGTACTTGTCTATACTCTCAGACTTGATACTATCAAACATAACAGATTCAAATAAAATCAATCAAGACAAAGCAGTGATCTAACAAACCAGATTTAAAACCAGTCATAGTAACACAATGTCAGTAATACAAGACTTCAGTTTAAGTTAATAGGGAATTAAGGATATTTACCATAGTACATCCTATTTTTGAGATAGCTGTCTGTGCCCTCAATTCTAGTACAAGTACACAGACTGTAACAGAATATAATCAAACTAAACACAGCGATGAGAATAATGTGGATTTTAAATCTTGATACATTATTAACAATGTCCTCTGCCTTCCTTTTATAGACAATTCCTCCCCTTTCACTTTCACAGGGTACATTGTATATTTTGGGTTTGACTAACTCCTTTAGTTTTTAAATTAAGGGGGCAACCTGATATTTACCTAAGTGGTTCTGAACCTTTTTATCCTTGAGGTTGATCTGAAGTTATATTCCTTTACCTACAAAAACCTCAAGGCTTTCCTTCCTTATAGCTGAGTAGTTCTCCACTGCAAAAAGTATCATGTCTTTCCAATCTATCTGTAGCTGCTGGATGAGCTGCCCCTATTTCTCTCTGGTTCCCTGTCACAGAGAGCATTATTTTCTCATTTTTGACTTTTGGTCCATAAACCCTCTTTCAGGTTTATTATATTTCCTAAACAGAGCATCTTGATGGATCCTATCTCCTGATCGACTCTGCTTGTGTTTCTTTTTGTTAGTGTATCAAGGCCATCTGTGTTAGAGATGATAGCCAAGCTTCTCTGTCTCATGTCTGTTATGCTATTTTTCTGCCATTGGTTGTCTGCTTTTCTCCTTCATTCCACTGTCTGCCCCATTCATTGAGGCCTCTCTGCCACTGTTCCTGAAACTCTAGTGTTTTTGTTCTCTCTCTCTAGAAGGTCCTTCAGTATTTTTTGTAGAGTTGGATTGGTGGTCACGAACTCCCCCAGTTCCTCTTTGTCATGGAAGCATCTTGTTTCTCCATTAATTTTGAGAGACAGTTTTTCAGGGTACATCAGTATAGGTTAAAGATTATTTTCTTTCAGGGTTTGGCATACTTTGCTCCAAGCTCTTCTTGATTTGATGGTTTGTCGAGAAGTCTGTCATGATTCTGATGGGTTTCCTTTATAGGTGATTTGTTTTGCTTTCTCTGACAGCTTTTAATATTCTGTTCTTGTGTTGAATTTCTGGGATCTTGATTATTATATGTCTGGGTATAGATCTATTTTGGTTATCTGGCTGGAGTTCTGTATCATATATCGGGATAACATTTCCTTTTCCTATGCTTGGGAAATTTTCTTTATTTCTGCAAATAGCCTTTATATTTCATTTGTGTTTACCCTGCTTGTTCACTCACATTTTTTATTCTTAAGTTATAGATCCTCTTGTCATCTTCTAGCCTTTGTATTGTTACTTCTTGATTCCTTGTTATTTTTAAGAGATCTTTTCCTTTCCTGATCACACATTGTAAACCTGTCTTCGAAGTTTGATAGTCTTTCAAGCAGTTTTGCCAGCTTTCAATGGAATATTAATTTCCTGGTAGTCTCTTTGAATCTATTTAATGTATTCTAGATTTTTTAAAATATTGTTCATTGAAGGTTTCTCTTTTTCTATGCCCCTCCATTCTTCCATCTGTATCTTCTTGAGAGATACTTAGCATTTCTTTTACTATTTTTCTTATTTCTTACTTTCTGAGTGTTAGAATTTGTTTTTAGTTCTTTTATAATGTCACAAAGATAATTCTTTATGTCAATACTGCTTTTTCAGACACGGCAGGTGTACAACCCCCCATCTCTTCTGTGTTCACCTCTCCTGGCCCAGTACTGTTTGTGTTGCGGGCTGCAGACTTCCTTTTGCTTCTTCCTCTTGTCATGTTTCTGGTTTCTTCCAGACAGGCACATAATGGGGGTCCCTGGCACTTCCTGTGTTAGCTACAATTACTCTGAAGCATGCTGGCTAGGGATTGCTGCCCTCCCCGGTCTGCTGATGACCACCAAAGTACAAGCAGGAGTAGGGTAGCTGGCCCCTCCTTTCTGACTGAGCTGGTCAAGCTCTGGGAGTCTTCACCACACTAGTGTGTGCTGAATGGATGGGGCTGGTTACGTGTACCTTCAGGTATTGTCTTTGGCTATCAGATTGTGCACAGAGGCAGGACTCAGTCCAAGAAATTCTCACCAATCTGCTCTGCACTAGGAGTGGCTGACTGAAGCCGCTGCAGTTCTCCAAAATGTCGCCTGGCCAGTTGTCCACCCCTGCAGGAGGACTGATTTTCACGCCTCACTGCGAGCCGGTACAGCACTCTGAGCTGAGTGCTGCTGTCCGCTCTGCTGCTCCCCTCTGTGACCACTTCTTCCTGCCAAGGTCGTCAGGCTCACCAATCCTGAACTTCACCATGACCATGTTTCTTTGGATTCCAGCAGCATTTTGAACACAATGGGACCAGCTTTGGTGAGAGTAAGTCTGGCTACAGCCTTCCATCCACGATTTTCTTTTCTTTTTTTTCCCCTTAGTTTCTTCCTGTCTCCTTCTGGTCCTGTCTGGTCTTCTCCCTCCAGGATGTTTTATCCCAGCATCTGAGCTGTTTCTCTCAGAGAGGCTCTTTTTTTTTTTTTTCTGCTTGTTGATCTGCCATCTTCCCAGCTTCCTCTTGATACCACAGGTCTTATCTCAAAGGCACAGCTATTACTACTGTGTCTCTCATTGCCCAGTACTCTTTGCCTACTGCTGATACCCATCTCTTTTCATACCCCATGTAGAGAGTGGGCTATCTAAAGTCACTGCAGAAACCTATTACTGTACACTAGAAATAAGTCACAATCTTGTCTTACAACCCGTCCTTGTCTCATGTCTCTGCCAACAGGATTCCAGGATGTGTGTGTGTATGTGTGTGTGTCATAGGGAAAGAAAGAGACAGAACAGCAGATAAAGAAGAGGGGAGGTGATCCTAAGTTACTTACATTAGTAATAACAAGCAGATAGGATGCACCAAAGTCTAATAGACCCAGATTCAGAGAAAAGTCCTTGTCTTCTGTTTTACAAGGCACCGCAGGATATCTAGGACAGAATAAGTTTGGGTTAGAATAAGCAGCACATCTTAAAAAATACTGCTGTCCTGGTGGGGAGGAGGTAGGGACTAATGAGTGAGCTTAGCTGTGCTAAGGATGAGGAGAACAAGGCAGTCATCATTTCTCTTCAGAGTGAGATGCATTGGGGAGTAAGTTATTTTTATGCTAGGTTTCTGCTCAAATCTGAGTTCTTTATTGTCTGTCAGGTATTTGTTGTTGCAATTGCTTGCTGTTTTTATTCTAAATCTGTATAAAGAAGGCATAAATTATCTTCTTTTGCAGATTTCAGGCCCAGGTAAGTTTTTATTATACAAAGCTTATGACTTAGTGGAGCAGCATAGCACAGCAAATTCTAAGTAATAAAGTACCACTAGAGGTACCAAAGGGTAGGAGCCAGAACCCATAATAAACTGAATTTCATAAAGATGGTCCATCTTAACTACACAGAATGGCTATCTCACTTACTACTGTGATGCACCCGAGTTTGCTTATTATCTCTCTCTTTTTTCTCTCTCTCTTTCTCTCTCTCTCTCTGTATAATATATATATAGTCCCCAAATCTTCAACCTATATACAAAAATAGCATTTAAAACACAATTGTTGATAAAAGTAAAATGTCCACAGGGGTAATGCTCTTACTCTCCTCTTGGGATGGTTCTGTAAGCAGACACACCACTGTCTTTACGAACAGTGAGCGGGCCATCTGTACCCAGGGAGATGATCACATCTTTGTGCAAAGTATTAATAAACCTGAGGTAGAGAAATTAGTTACATATCAGACAAACGCATCCAAAAGGGACACCTGATAAAAGTGGGGGTTGAACTCATACTAGGCAAGTGTTCTACCCCTTAGCTATCTCCAAACCTTCTGCCCTTTTTGCATGGAAGGTTAAACCTAAGACCTTCACACTGAGCTACATCCTCAGTCCTTTGTAAATATTTTATTTTGGGACAGGGTCTCATTAAGCCACTATATTGCCCAGACTGGATTTGAGTTTATAATTCTCCTGCCTCAGACTCACAGTGTTGGAATTACAGACATGTGCCACTCAACTACGTTTTTTAAATTTTACTTTGACACAGGGTCTCATTAAATTGCTCAGATTGACCTTAAACTTTCTAGTCTGCTGCCTTAGCCCTTTAAATCACTGAAATTACTGTGCCCCTATATATAGTAGAGAGGTAAATTTTGTTTTGTTTATCATTACAACCCCAGTGCCAAGAATGAGTACCACATAAGAGGTATATACTATATAGTGTTCTCTAGCTTTCTTTCTGGAGTATTTGTTATCTGTCACATCCTCACCAGATTCCCTAACTCTATAGATGCTATCATGATCAAGAAAACCCTGCAAAACAGGGTTTCCTTTTTAATTCAGTTTAAATGCATGCATTTTTATTTCTTCATAACAATAGAATTGATCGAATGAGACTTTAGCAAGTAAATATAATTATGTGTAAAGATGTAACAGCATTTGTATAAAACTGACATTTTAACTTTTTACAAATGAAGTCAGATTTGACTATACAAAATTTAGACTCTCAGTCTATAGTAGGTTGTTACTACTGTTTGGAGTGTCTGCAGAACTCATAGACCCTTCTAGAACCATCTTTCTAGTCCTCTAACCTAAGTACCTGGATTATCTCGTCAGAATCGGGTTTTGGAATATTCCTGTTTTGATAGTTTTTGCTTTGTCTCTGTCCAAGGATTAGAAGAGTGGTTTCCTCTAGAGTCCTAAATGTTTACTCCTGGACTTTAAATCGCCCTATACTCACCCAGAAAATATCCTTTCTGAAAGTAAAAATCATTAACAACTTACAAAAAAGATCTGTCATCAAAAAGATCCTTGTCAAGACACTAATGACAATCTTGCTGTCAGATGACAATTTGGAACTTAGGCCTCATTCTTACCATGTTTTAAACTAAAATCCCTTTAAATATTAGCTTTTCTGAAGCATAATAAAAACCATTTACTGTGAATGTTCTACCTTCAATGGAATTCGGAATTTTCATTAAAGTGCTGTTCTCAACCCCTTTATCTTGATGACTGCAGGCATTTATATCTGTCCATTTTATACCTAATGCTCCACAGAAGGCAAGTGACCTCTGTCTCTGGATTGTCCCTCAATACTGGACAAGATTTTTGTCTTACCTAAATTCTAAATCAAGTCTTTTTTTCCAGATATGAACTACACTATCATGCTTCTACAGACTTACTACAAAAACTATACTTTAAGTGATAGATGCCCACAACCTAAAAATTAAGAGAAAATTATTTGCTCACTTTTAAATTTCTCTCTGGCAAACAAAAATTACTCAGTAATTTTCTTGAAAGCATGATTAATGAATGAAGTTTTGAAGAAATTTTTGCAGGTTATCTTCAAACAGGAACGAGCAAATCTGTCTGCCTCTCACTGTCTTGAAAAATCCCTTTAGATATCAGTGCCCCTGATAGTCTAGGAGAGATAATTCCTCTTTAAAACAAGTAAATTGTGAGACCTCTTCATCTGAAGCCCCAGAGATCAGAAGAGACCCAAGATTCAAGAGAACACAGTGGCCCAGGGGCTGCTTGATATCCAAACCTGACAGCTGTCATCCCATTGGTTGTTCTGTTTTCTGCATCCTGTACCTACAGTAGAGAAAAGTAAAAATCAGTAACAACAGACAGAAAGGAACCTGTAATCAGAATGTTTGATCATCAGATAGATCATTGGTAAGACACTAATGGGTCAGCCAGTTATCTTGCTGCCCAATAACAACTTAGAACTTAGGCAATTCCTCGACTTACCATCATGCTGGAAATATTTTTCCCATCTTCATGAAGGATCACAGTGTACCAGTTATTCTCTACTACAGAATGTTCAGCGTGGGCAGACTGATTGTGGTATTTCAGATGGAAGTGGAAATCTTGGCTTTTTGAGTTCAGGTGCAGTTTGAAATAGTGTGTTGGTTTCTGTAGAATGAAGCACCTGTTTCACTTTCTATCCCAGTTGGGACATTACAATCTCATGGCATTTCAGGGTGAGTGACGTGAGTAATATTTTTCATCAAAGTAGTTATTTTATATCTAGGAATCTCTCATAGGAAATAATTAAAGGCATAAAGATTTACAAGTCAGAATGTTTATTATAGGATTACATATAATAATAAAAACTTGAGTATCTATAAAATGCTTAGACTATAGAATGGGATATCACATAGTCAATAAAATCATGCTATCAAAGATTATTTAAGGGCATAGGAAGTAGCTTATAAAACAATGTCAACTTAAAAAGTCAGTACCAGTGTAACACATAAAGTTTCTAAGTCATTCAGGCCCATTCCTCACCTGAAAAGATTTGATGGACTCTGCCAGTAGAGAAGTATTTCCATTCCCCAGCACTGACACTTGCACCTCATCATCTGCCAAGTTTAAGACCTGTAGGAAAACTTCTTGGGACCCTGGCTGAGGTGGAGCCATTGCCTTAGGACAGATAACACATTAGAATCATCAACAAATAATTCTTCAGATACAATGACAACACCTCCCTTAGTCCTGTCCCTCCCAGCCTGGCCCATCTAGCCAAGAGGGCACAGTTTTCTCTCACTAATGAACATTTGATTTAGAAAATCCTAAAGGCAGTATAGAAGGAAAACACCAAGTCAATATAGCAAGAACTAATGTCAGGTAATGAACTCATGCTTTTTGACTTATTCCTCAATAGTGGTTATTTGGCTACCAAAAGCAATTTGTTGAAGTATATGGAAAGGCATCTCCTTAAAGCTGCATTCCCTGGAGCTAGCCAAGTATCTAGAATATTAGCGTTTGGAAATTCTCTGAAAATAACTCTGCATCACTCAGGAGAGGGGTGGGCCTCATTTTGCTTTGCTGTTCTGCCCTGTGTCTATTCATTTACCATGAATACTTACTATGAATTTCCTGTAAAACAAGAACCAAGGTAGGTCCCAGGGAGTCAAGACTAAACAAATCAGAAAAACGACCAAGACATATTGACCCTGCCCTCCTTCAGCTTATAATTTACTGGACTCACGTTTATTTTTATCTCCACAATAGCTGCAACTGCAAATGCCAGGCATGCTAGAATCATACCAACAGCCATTTTCCTAAGTGATCTGTAGAGGAAAAGGAGAGACAATTATATCTATTCTTTAAGCTCTAGAATATAAAATCCAAACTCCTTAACTTATCACAGAACTTTCCTCACTTAATCCGTTAGTTTTCAAAGTAGTTCCTAGAACTTCTTTTCATACACCTTTTTCCTCTTTTACTCGAGTCACAAAGAACTGCTGTTTTAATACACCACATTTTCCTGCTGTTACCTTTGCTTATATGATGATTTTTCTATCCATTATAACATAGCATACTACTAAAAGTAATAGCAGTACAATCAGATTTGTTGAGCATTTCTGATATACCAGGTGTTGTACAAATTTTAACTCATTTTTCTCTTAAGCACTCTTTGCTGACTCTAACAGCAGGCAGGACTCTGCTCCTTCTTTATACTTCCCTGGCATGCCAATCTCCCCTCCATAGAGTAACTGACACATATGACCTGTGTAGTAGCTATTCCAGCATGTGCTCTAACTTCCTTAATTATTAGTGAACTCCTTGAAAGAAAGGTTTGTTCTTGACTTACATATGTGTAGCACTCGGTCCTGAACTCCCTAATGTCTGTTTAATAACTGATCAAATGCCATTTGAATGTGGTAAAGTGGTCATCATTTTGCCATCGTGATTAAATTGCTAATAACTTAGAAATGAAAAGAGATCTGAAAGCCACCTCTGCCAAACTTTACAAATAATAACTTCTACTTAGAATAGGGGAAAAGTAGTAACTGAAAAATTCTATCCTTAAGTCCTAAAGGTCCCCATTTGTTTGTAGAAACAACTGGAAACTTAAAGAAATAAGTTGTCATTAAAGATTTTGGATTTCTTGGAAGAGGAAACATTCATGAAAAAATTCAGCAAGTTGGTTTAGGGGGCCCAATCTTATACACTGTACTTCTGAGTTTTCAAAAAATGTAGACATATTCCTTCAATATTGTATACTTAAGTACAGACTATTGGCTTTAACTCTCAGTAGTTAAATTTAATTCCCACTTTCCAGGAGAATAGGTACTAGTTCCAAAGGGGCCAGTAGGAGCAGGTAAATGACAAACCAGAACAATAAGCAGAAACTTACTGATAATGAATGTTTAACAAACTAGGCAAAGACTGAGACCTTTGTAATAAGGTACTTACGAGAAGTTGATTCCACATTTGGCAATCAGTCGATAAATGACAAGGTCAAACAATGGGATGAAGACAAGAACCAGAAAAGGATTTAGCACCTGTAACACCACGTAAAAACGACTGACCACAAGTGTTCTCTCATGAGTATGAACGCGTGCTTTCATTTGTCTGTGTCCTCTCTCACATCCACACACACTGTCACCTTGTAATGAGTCCACATTTCTCAGTCCCTTTATACCCAAAACTCTATTTCCATGAATACACCTTAGCTTCCAAATATCCCAAGGAACTAGTTACTTTCTGAGCCTGTTTTTCTTCTAATCATATTAGGAAGTCTTCTCTTCCATTGTTGTTTATCTTTAGTTTCACAGCCAGGTCAAAGCAAGGAGAGAAGAAAGAACTGGGGATTCCTGAATGAGGAGCTAAAAGAAAGAGCTAGAAGTTATGAATAAACAGATATTCTGACTTCACCGCTTACATAACAAAGTCTTATCACTTTTCTCTAACATTTCCATTATATTACTGTGGCTCAAAAAAAAAATGCAATGCTTATACTTTCCCTATGGACTAAATCTCTCTCCCTAGTTATGCAGGAACTACTTATTTAAGAGAGGAAGAAAGGGAAGGTATAAGATTTAAAGAGAGTGTTTTCATCTCTATACAAAGCTTTCCTCAGCAGACAAGGAGAAACATATCAGACAACAGTTTTTAATCTGACAAGGAGAAGCACGAGTGAGAAAAAAAAATACATCCCCATATCCATAGAGAAGTCTCCTACCTGCATTTGGTCCGGCTGGAGCACAAAAAAACCCTGAAACATTATAATACGTTAGACGGTAGCAGATCAGTCATCTTGGGAACTAGCAGGGAAGAAGCATATAAAAATGTCCTTTAGGTCTTTGGTTCAGGGACCTGATGGATGTTGTCTATGATGATATTTAGGGCTGAGAAGAGAGTTTGGGTAGCTTCTGGCTATGTTTGCTGAGGGCAGATAGACCAATGGGAAGATATTCTTTTTTGAGTACATATTGAGTACCCTTTATCCAAAATGCTTGAGATTTTGAAAGATTTTTATATGGAATGAAATATCTCAGGGAAATGATCCAAGTTTACAGATAAAGTGATCTAAGGCTACAGAAGCATAGCCTACAGTTAATTTTTTCTTGAAGTTAATTTTATATAATGTTTGTAATGATTTTGTGCATGAAACAGTTTCATGGTATGGAATTTTCCACTTGTGGAATCATTGTGATCTTGTAAAATGTTTGGATTTTGGAATAATTCCAGTTTGAGGTCTTTGGATTAATGATACTCAACCTATGTTATGTTTTCCTTGGCTTGAGAGAGAATAGAGTTGGTGTATTTTTTTAAAATTAAGTTCTGTAACTGTAGTTATAAGCAGCAATAATGAGAAGGACAAGATGTTGTGGCTAGACGATGACTCCCACTGACACAAAACATCTCTACAGCTACTTTGCAGAGTGTCAAAAGAGAACCATCTCTTAATAATGTTTTAGGGAAAAAAAGTTGCCACCTAAGTTCTGTGTCACTTACTTGTTTTCCTCTCAATATATTCTTCTATACATTGAAATGTTTCTCTTCAATAGCTGGTACCAAAAAAAAAGTTTCTCAGCCTTCTTTCATTCCTGATTCTAAAGACAAGATTTTGATTTTTTGCTTCTAGTTTTTAAAAAATAAATAAATGAATAAAACATTTGCCTTCAAACTAAATGTATGTCTCTAATGATTTTAATTTAGTTTTCAGACAAAAATACAAATAAATTAATTTTCTTTTGTATGACTGATAAAAATAATGGTCTTTTTTGAAAAACGTCTTCGGGCCAGGGATTTAGCTTAGTGGTTCAAGGCAGAACAAGGCTTTGAGTTCGATTCCTGGTACCAAAAAAACCACAAAAACAATAAAAACAATTCCAATGAATTTTAATTGAAAAAAAAAAAGAAAAAGAAAGAAAAACCTCTTCTACTTACCAAATCCCCATCCATCTTAGTGGCTTGTAGGGTCCATCGTGAGCCCTAGGAAGAACAATGCTATTCTGAGAAATCTCTCTCCTATGAGAAGCAAATAGTTGGATGGAGAGGTTACTTTGAAAACAACTATTCCTACCTGCTGATCCAAAAGAGCCCAGAACATGGGCAACGGGGTATATAGGAACAGTATCCTGGTCAGTGCCTTCACATCCATAATGAGCTGCGTCTGCAGAGAGGAAGAAAGAATCAGTAGAACTAACTGCCAGACGCTCCCGATGTGCCTTTCTTGCTTGCAGCAAAGTGCACAACAGTAACAGCAGAGCTCACGCACACCAGTAGAAATTCAGTTGGAAAGACTCCACAGAGCCACAAAATGTTCCTGCAGTTTCAACTTACTGGGTATTTCTCCGCTGCCCAGTCCAGCCAGTGCTGGCGCCTTGGAATGTTCCGAGAGCGGTTCTTGAAGCGGTTGGAAATAGCAAACTAGGGCAGAGCACAGATATTGGGCAAGATACAGAGAGAAGCCTTCCTTTGCATTTCCCAGTTCATTATCCCTTCCCTCAAATAGGCACACTTTCAGGACTTACTCTAACGCTTTAATCTCATCGGACACTGAATTTCAGAACATTTGAGGTATAATTTTATTTTTCCAAATTTCCAATTGACATCATATAAGCTACACATCCTAAGAGTTCTGCCATTTTAAGAAAAATGTGGGGGAAAAAAATGAAAGATGAAAAATGCATTTTGTTTCTTTTTTCTTAATGGCTGTGTAGAGACATGGAGGAAGGTGACTTAATCCCAGCTTTCAAATGGTATGCAAGCAGAACAAAGATCACTGAGGAAAATATATGCACGTTTGAAGACCTTATCCTCACACACGCTCTCTTCTTTTTATTGAACAATATAGGTAAAAAAAAAGTCATGGACTCACCCCAATGCATTTGATAACTTGAACCACTATGTTCCCTTCAGGAGGTGGTTTCTTGTACATTTTGCTTCCCATCGCAAACACAACTGCAGTTGATACACAAACAAGGTTCTCAGCTACTCATTTGGTACATTCAATATTTAAGGACAGGCTGCTGAGCTGTAGGACTTCCTAGCAAATCTCATAAAGAGGGCACCTACTTAATACTTCCTGAGTTGAAGTTATATAAATTATGAGAGCCAAGAGAAGATAAAACAGTCAATTGCTAAGAGGTATCTGTTGAGATTTTCATGTGATCACAGAAATGGGAACAATCTTTGGCTTCTTATTCTATGTTGCTCGCTTCCATATCTGATGTATCACCAATGTTCTGGTCCTCTTTCTTCAGTGGATTTCTGTATGTCTCCTTTTTTCCATTACCACTTCTACTAATCTGTTAAGGATGTCACAGTTTCTACCATAGACTAGTAAAATGTCCATCAACTTGTTTTTCATTCTCTAGTCTCCTTTTGCCTTAATGTGATGCCAAATTAAAACTTTTCTAGAGCTGGATGTGGTGGTGCACATACAATCCCAGCACTTGGGAGGTTGAGGCAGGAGGATTGCCCTGAGTTGGAGGCCAGCTTGGGCTACAAAGTGAATTCAAGGTCAGCCTGAACTTCTTAGTGAGATCCCACCTCAAAAAAAAAAAATCTTTCTAGTGTCTCTCCACCCAAATATGTATCATACTATAACTTATTGAAGGGTTATTTTATAAGTAAATTATTAAAACTTATTTTATAAGTAAATTATTAAATTACTTATTTTATAAGTAAATTATTAAAATAATTTATAGGTAAATTATTAAAAAGGAGATATTATATATCTCTACTTAATATATCTATACATATATACCTATCTCTACTTTCTTTAGTTTAAATCATATATATAATATGTGAATGTGTATTTAGTAGAGCCTAACTCTGTTTTATTTTACTTTTATTTTTTTGAGACAGGATGTTGCTATGTAGTTCAGCCTGGTTCTGAATTCACTGCATAGTTCAATCCAGCTTACCTTGAACTTGCAGCAATCCTCCTGCCTCAGCCTTCTGAGTGCTAAGATTTCAGGCATGCACCACCACAACTAGCCTCTTAGCTACATTTTATACATTTAAAAAATGAACAAATTAAGTAACTTATACAAGATTACACAGCTAAAAATTGCCACAAATAGCATTTTCTTACCTGCGACTTATCTGACTCAAAATTCCTGCTCTTAACCATTATAAAGCATCTCACCTCATTGCCTCGTCACTACATCACATATTGTACTAGATAGACACTACTGTGAAAAAGACATGGCCCTGTCCTCAGAACAGTGCACTTTAATCTACTCTTTCAAACCTATGTCTCATTACTTTTCTTTAGGTACTTTATGTTCTAATCACGACTCATGATTTCCACAGAAAATCCTACTGTGTGCTACTTCTATTCATAAGCTAGTTCTGTTTCCCATATTCACATCTTTATTTCTTATTTTTCCAAATGAATAACAATGAGCTAGCATTTTATAATTATAAAACAGTGTTATTCTTTTCAAGGTTTTGTAGGGTTGTTTGTTTGTTTTGCTACTGGGGACTGAACTCATGACCTCACCTTGCCAGGTAAGCACTTAGGCCACTGAGCTAAACTCCCAGCCCCTTTTTTTCAAGTTTATTAAGTTAAATTAAAATCAATGGAAAGATTCCACCTTGATTTCCCACCAGATGGGAATCTGCCTTCACAGATTCCCAATTGAAAGATGCCCTTTTAATCGTCTCTACTGAAGAACTCTTTTTCTGTGACCAATAAAATTTTCTAATGTCATTACACACCAGACTTTATAAATCACCTTATTTTGTCACTCTTTTAACTTTCTAATTGCACCATTCCGCTCAGTCAAATTCATTTTACCACTTTTTCTGCATTCATTCTCTTTGGTTACTTCAAACCACACTCACTCTCTATTACAGCCTTCTTATTGTTGAAAGAAAGATTTTAGGGAGATAATGAGAATCCTGGGAATCAAGTGGACAGATAAAGAGATACCTAGACAAAAGGAAAAATTTTTTTCTATAGGAAACAAACTGCTCCTGAAATTAAGATGATCCTACAAAGGAGCTGAACCCCTCCAGAATGCTGGTTGCCACAGTGACAGTGAAGTGGTAACAGGAGGATGTGATCAACTTGACAAGTCATTCAAATTTTGCACCCACTTAACTAAAGAAGGTAAATAGGAAATAACTCTCTCCTCTTTCTCCTGGTAGATGATGTAGTCTTCACAATGAAAATAGAAGGCTTCATATGGTAATTTAACTTCTTTCCACCAAATCTTTAATGTTGTTCCCATACCCATCCTCTCTTTCCTTCAGTGAGGTAAAGGAGATGTTTCTCCTCTTGCGCCAAACTTAATTTTTTGCATGTGTGTTTTCACAGCAATTATACTCAAGCCTTTCTTCCTAAAAATATTCATGTTGAATATAACAATAATGTTGCTTGAATTCATGTCACATTCTAGCTGCAAATACATTTTCCCTTTCTCACCTGTCATTCACTTCCCAATTTATTCCACTCGGTATTCACCCTTTACTAACCTACCGTAACTGAGGCTATGATTTCAACCTAAAATACCCCCTAAACTCTCATGTATTCAGAGGTAGAGTTTTGGGAGAATAATTAGATCATGAGGGCCTTAACTTTATTAGTGGGTTAGTTCATTCTTTAGATCATAATTTGGTGGCACCACATGAATGACATCCTTTGCTGTTCTATTTAATGAACATTTTCACTCTTAGTTCAGTTCCCACCCAGTGACATCTGTCCAGATGAGTTCCTCCTTAAAACTCTTTTGGTATCCAAGACAGCACTAATACCACTTGAGTTTTCCCTTCTAAGTTTCATTTGAATATCCTGTAAGTGCTAGTGTTCCTTAGGGTTTGGTCCTGGATCTTTTTTTCACCTTACTCCTTATTATCTGTTAGTTATATGTTCAAGGTTATATGTTCAAGGTTTAATATTTATCCAGACTCTAGGTCTACAGCCCAATCTCTCTGAATCCTAAAATGGCTATTTCTAAATAACTATTTGGTGATTACAAGGAAATGTTCTAACATGTAAAATGTAACATGCCCCAAACCAAATTTATCAATATTTCCCAAACCTGTTCTCTCTTACTATCTCAATTAATGATCCCACCATATACCCAGATGTTTACATTAGAACCCTGCATTCTATATGGATACCTTCTCTTCATTTCACATATCTAATCTGACAAAGGTTGTTGGTTCTACCAACAAGGTGAGCTGAGTGAGGCACTCCACTCAAGTACAAATTTTAAGGGAATGATAGAAAATGCAATAATCAAGATAAATATTGTTTTTGCCTTACCCAATCCTTTCTCCATACTATAATCACATTATTGAAAAATGAAAACCCAACAATTATTCTGTTCAAAACATTTTGTAGATACCCACCACCTCACAATGAAGTTAAAGGACGTTTCCTTGTCTTGTTTATACCAATTTTTTAAAAATCTTTCTCATTTATGCTCCAGGTAGTCAGAATCCTTAAGGCCTTTGAATCTGTCACACCATCTTGAACCACCTTGACTTAATACTTTGTCCTCTTTCTGCATCACTTATAATCCATTCTTTGATTGTTATTCATGCCTGACATCTCACCTTAGAAGTCAATTTTTTAGGTAAATATTTTACAGCCCTCAAGTTTTAGATTAGTGTTGTTACTGTTGTTTTGGTTTTTGGGGACAAGGTCCCACTATGTAGTTCAGGCTGGCCTTAAATTCACCATGTAGCCCAGACTAGCCTTGAACTATGGTGGTCCTCCTGCCTCAGTCTCTTGAGCGCTTGGATGAGAGACATGTGCCACCATGTCTGGAAACATCCCTCAAAGTCTTAATCACTCCTCTATAAACTTCAATACCTTTCTCTATATTTCCCAGTTATAACACAGACCATGCTATATTTTAAATTCCTTTTTACCTGTCTTTCTCTTTTTACTGGTCTGTGTTCTTTGAGAACCTGAACCATGTGGCTATTTAATTCATCAATGGGGACTCTATTCCTAACACAGAATCTGTCCCATAACAGACATACTGATAGCATTTAACGATTTATAATTTATAAGTCATTTCACTTATAGCATTTCTTTTGGGCTTCATAATTATTTTGATATATAAATACTACTATTGTGCAATGGTACAGAGAAGGAAGTGTGTACTACTCAGTGGAAAAACCAAGAAAATAGTTGGGAAAACATTTGGTATATACAGAAAGAAGAAGGAAGCGGAGAATGTATTACAGCTCTTCTGGGAAACGGTGCCTTGTAACTGGGGACTCTGAGTACTACCATCAGCCACTTCCCATCCCCTGTAGAAAGCAATCAACCTGGATATTGAGTCCTTTCCTCCGTTGAGCTGTTCTTCTTTATGTGTTTAGACTGGACCTCTTCCAGGGGGGCGTCACCCTAAGGCTCAGAGTGAGAGCAGGTTTCCAGGCCGATGATTAGAAGCAATTTTGTGCAAATTTCTCCTTATGCTATCTAAACTATGCAACTCTATACACCCCCCTTTTCTTCCAGGATTGGGTTCTCAGGGCAAGTAAAAGAATGCCATTTGATCTAAGTCTATACCTACTTACTCAACTTTTCTTACTCTATTCATTCAAGGGCAAACTCTTTGGGAACATTATAGAGCAGAGCGGAAATAGCTAAACCTATGACCGATTTTTAAAAGTCCCAGAGAATTTAAATTGTCTTTTAATCACCAATGAATAAGCAGCCGATGAGGTAAACTAATTTAGGGGAAGATTAATTGCTTTCCTTCGTAGTTTAGTAAAGTGCAAATGTGCCTTAAACTTTACTACAGTACATTAAAATCCTGGATATAGTTCAAAAATTATAGTGCCTAGACCCCTGATTGTTCCTGCATATGGACCATAGATTGATCTTTCTTTTTGCTTTTTGGTACCAGGGATCAAACTCATGACCTTGCACTTGCCAGGTAGGTGCTTAAGCCACTGAGCTAAATCCCCAGCCCAAGATTGATCTTTCTTAAGGTCCTCAAGAAATTTTCTAATGGGTGTGTAATTTGGGGGCACTTTTCAAAGATGTCTGACTTAATAGGTTACCTTCAAATCCAAGGAGTAAACCCGTAAAATAGCACCTCAAGGTTACCATGAAGGTTGTACAAAACACATTATGCCAAACAATTACATGATTCTCTCTTTGTATCAATTATCAGTGACCGTTAAGTTTCCTTTGCCCTACTGTACTCACCAAGGGCTATTACCATGAGCAGTCCTGGAACTCCAAAAGCCAATGCGTAGCAGTCTTCCCCAAAACATTGCACATCCCCTAAAGCAAAGAAGTTGATAACTCTGAATCTTGAACCTTTGATATTCAAGGTATTCAAGATCAGATTCTTGATGTAGACAAAGCCATCCTCTGTTCTTCTGTCACTTAATCCAGAATTCTTTTTTGGGGGGGCAGACAAATCAAGACCAAATAAAGTTCTCACAGATTTCCAAGTTGTTATAAAAGGAGAAAATGGACTGCTGGAAACCTCTAGCTGGCAAGAGTAAAGCCTTAGACAAGACCCCACAAGAAATGATCCTAACCTCTCAGCATGGGTGTGATAAATGTAGAAATCAAACTTCCTGCATTGATGGAGAGGTAGAAGACTGAGAAGTATCTAGTTCGTTCCTCTGCCTGAAACAAACAGGATAAATCATCAGTGCAATGTGCTTCCTGGCTCCATTCCCACCTCGTGTTCAGAGTCAGAGGGAGACATACAGAAAGAGACAGAATATATACACATCTCCTCTATTGTAGATATTTAATGGCTCACTGGCCCTAGAAAAACTTTTAATCTTCTTTTAATGTGCAGTACAGACAGATTTAACATTCTTTAACCCTTCATATGGGTAAAAATTATCATCTTTGATGCCACTCTTGTGTCCTGTACATAGCTATTGTAACAATAATTTATTTGTACTAAGTGTTTCTTTCATTTCTGAGTCTTTTAGGGGCAAAAATTGTCTCTTACTCTTCTCTGTAATCCTCAGTACCTAGTCTAGCATCTGACATAAATCAGAAACTCAATGGATGTTTATGGACTATATTAATTACACGGATGACTGGTTAAATAATAGATTTTGTGGAGTATGATAGGAAGAGGAAAAGAACATAGATTAACATGGTGAACTGTTGGTCAAACAGGACAGATCAACTAGTGCTTAACAGAGCTGCCAAGAAATTTAAAAGGACATCAGTGGGCTTATAAATAGCTAGCAGAATACTGGAGGTGGATTTGTCCTATTAATTGAAGTGCATTTGGAGGCCAGCTACCACTCACAACTTTCAAGTGGGTCTGCTGTGAGTAAGTCATGATATCTTCCTGTGCTTCATTTTGGTACCTCAGAGCCTTTCCTCACAGCAGTACACAATCAGCCTTTCCCCAAGTTCAGTTTACAATTTGTTTTATTTCTGCTTCTCCTTCCATTTAAACCTGTTCCACTAATCTAATTGGTTTAGTTTACCAAGCATGGAATCCCGCTTGCCAAAGGTTGGTTATTGCTCTGAAGTCAGCAAGTAATGATGATCTGTGGATCTTGGGTAGATAAATAATATAAGATAATCCACATAGTCTGTGTGATAAGAGAAAAACTTGAAAAAAGAATGCAGAAAGAAAATAGAGAGAGCAAGCTCTGGGTCAGAGACAGGATGGGGAAGAGAGAGGAGGAGCATGACATGAAGATAGGCAGTGAATTGCTTCAGCCTGGGAAATGGCTAACTGCCAGGTAACCCCTTCTGATACTGGTTAGGCCTTCTTGAAAACATAGAAATAAGAGGGATCTTACATGTTTTTCTTCAAACTGATCTCCACCAAAAGCTGCCACACAGGGTTTGATACCTCCTGTCCCCAGAGCTATTAGACTCAAGCCAATCAATGACAGGATTCTGAAATGGAGAGGTGAGAATGTATGTATGTATGTTGACAGCTACACAAGTGTATAGAGACTAACTACAGAGCAGATGAACTGCAGGGAAAGGGGAAGAGCTCATACCAAAGAGCATAACTCTTCCATCACATTTTTATCCTGTAGGCAAATTTCATTTGCCTTCATCTAAAGGAATACTAATGAGCATTTCACATCTTTACGATGTTTAAGCCTCTGCTAGGAAATACGCTTTGCAAGGGAAGTTTTTGTGCCTGGTACTCCTATTTATCCCTTGCACGCATCCAATGGAAGTAGATACTGAAGGCCCACTAAGCTGAGACATTGATTCTCAATCTTATTTTAGTCAAAAGGACACTTCAATAGAAAGATCTTAAGGGCTGGGCATGGTGGTGCACTCCTGTAATCCTAGCACTTGGAGAGGCTGAGGCAGGAGGACCATTGCAGGTTTGAAATTAGCGTGGCTGCAAAGTGAGCCCAAGACCAGCCTAAACTGTATAGCAAGACCCTGTCTCAAAAAGACAAAAAGAAAAGAAAGAAAGATCTTACGGATTCTAATCCTATATTACCTTACTAACCATAAAATAAAATGTTAAAATCTATCATAACAAATAGAAGCAGTATCAATGATTTTTGGGACACCATTATAAAGTACCTAATTTTATCAAGTTTCAAATAAAATCCCTAATTTATAGAATAAATATATGTATAGACACATAATAATATGAATATCTGACCTGCCTCTTCAATAACTGTTATCCTCTCTACTGACTGAACCAAAAGACAGAATCTATAAAATGCTTCTGATGCCTTAAAAGTAAGGAGGGACCGCCATCGGAATACATAGAACTATACATAAATGGAAATATTCAGGCACTGAATATCACTTGAAAAATATTGAATAATATAAGGAAACAATTTTTAAAATTCCTGCTGAAGTACAAATTCATAGGTGAACAAGAAAGGGAATGTAGAGGGAATGAAGGTTTTATTTTTGAGCACATGGGTTTTAATGAAGATACTAACGAGGCATTCTGCAAACGCTTAATAAAAACAACTGAGATCAGATAAGCTAAGCAAGTTCAACTACTCATAAAAGTGGTTTTTTTTTTCTTTTCTTAACCAATTTGGTAATAAAATAGTAACAGGAAAACACAAGAGCAATTCTGGTAATGAAACAGAAAATCTTTGTAATACAGGGTACACCTGTCTGATAGGAGAAAACTGGTTCAATGAATTGCATGATTTTACTCACGTGTGCGCCATTTTGCCTCCCAGTACTGGAATCGCACCCAAGGACTTTAGCACGTGGCCCAGCACATACACCAGGGAGAGATAGATGATTGTCCTGTGGGGAAAGTTACATCAGTCAGTCTGCGGCTTACACAAGGACTTGAGTCATACAGACAGACTCAGGATTCAGGCCTTCTCAGCAAACACAGAAGGAGAAAGCAGTGGAAGGGGAAGGGCTTACCTGAGAAACACAAATAGCAACAAAAAAAATGCAGTAAACAGACGAGGAAGAGGAAACACGATCCTTCACCTAGTGTTTACTTGAAAATCACAATCTTTGCAAGTTTCTCTCTTCTTAAATCATCCCACCTTCTCTTGCTCCATAATATGTGCACAGAGATACAGTGAGAACTGGGTGGGTTTGTAGCAAGAGTCATGATATTTTAAATTAGTAAAACCAGCAAAGCAGGATACCTTGGCCTGAGGTGCTTTTCTGAAAATGTGTCTTTTGCCCTAGAAAGCAGGGAGGATGAATGATAAACTCTGAGGGAACAGGGATGTGTAACACAAATGACTTTCTCTTTAAAAAAGTCCTGAAATAGAGAGAGGGCCAAAGGGCTTCTAGGTTCAACCTCAGAAATTTGGACATTTTAGGTGAACTGTAACCATCACCACAGTGTCTTCCTAGACAAGTTACCAAAGGTAAGGAAAGATAGTCTGTAATAAAAATTACATGGTTGATGGGAGCTCTTCCTGTTACATTGTTTTTCCAAGCGATCTGAAGGGCAAATAGGAAGTAAACACGTAAAGAATTTCAGTAAGACCCTATACATAGATACACACACTGAAATAGGGCACATTACACACATATATGCTCCTTACATGTATGCTCCTTACACCAGTATTGCAATGAATCTTGGTAATTATGTAGTTTTTATGTGTGATTTCAAAGTATTTTGTGCTAACATAAAGAATGGAATAAAATTGGCAGAAAGAGGCCAAAGATGCCAGAAATCTTAGGATTTAGACTCCTTATTTTAAATGTATAATCTTCCTAGATTGGCTTTCTATAGAAGTGACCTCACAGGGTACATATTGGTGGGTGGGGATGGGAATCTGAGTGACTCATCTATAGATAATTAGGGGAGGAGGAATACTTTCCCGAAAGGCATTGTGTCTTCTTCTAGAGAAAAATTCTATGTGTTGAAATAGAAAGGAGGAACACAAAGAAAGGGAACACAAAGAAACTGAAAAAGATCAGCTATTGTGAATCCGAAAGAGATAAGCCATGCTAGAATATCAGAGAAACAAATAAGTGATGGAGTCTGTATGGGAAAGGCTGATCTGTATCTAATGGTTGGACTGAGTGAATGTGAGAAATGTGAGTTGTTTACAACAAAAATAGACAATATTTTAGATGAAAGAATCACAGGAAATAGTTCAGTCATGCAGGATGTAACAAGAAGTTAATATAAAAAGGAAGTTGATTGTACTTTTAAACAAAAACTGTAGTTTACAAATTTTTTCTTTTCTAGTCTATTCACTACTAAACTCTTAAATCTTAAAAACTTGCACAGATTTCCACCTCCCAAAACACATACCTGGCCCCAGACCACAATACACCTTTCCCTAATGTGTGTGCTCTGTTCTCTTTGAGGGTGTACTTCCTCAATTCTGCCTAATAAACCTTTCAAATGACTCTCACTGTGATTCTTTTCTAAGATGTATGTCAGCAAAACTTTAACCTACCCCATTATTTGGGTTAAGATTCCCATCTCCTCATTGGGGACATCCTGGGACCTCATTCAATGACATTAGACACAAAAGGATTTAGAATGATTTAGTTCAGAGAAGAGATGCAGAAAAGTATCAAGTAGCTACACTAAAGTGTTTAATTTGATGGTAAGTAGCAATTGCAACCTTCAGAGACCAAAACAGCATTCGACTTCACTGAAAGGAAGAATAAAATTACACTTTTTAAGAAAAGAAAAAAAAATCCTTTTGACAGAAAAAAAGTACGAAAACTCTGAAAAAGCTGTCAGCCCTTTCCAGAGCTATCAGTGTTAGAAACACCTATGTATTGTTTATGACCTCCTATCTGTTGTTCATGCCCTCCAAATTCTTGCTTGGAGGCAAGAGATTAGAACTGTTCACCTCCCTCACAAAGAAACTTCCAGAGGAGATGTAATCTCCTGTCTTCCTTACTTGAATTTTCCCAACCACGAGTCCGCAATAGCTGCTCCCAGGATAGGCGTGAAATAACAGAGACTGTTGAATGCATGGTATACAGATGTAGAAGTATCTTCATTCCAGTGCAGGAAATACAGGAAATACAGGGTCAGCACAGCTAAGATGAGAAAAAGAAAAAATAAGAAGCAAAACAAAACGGATGCATTAGAAGGATGCATGGAGAAAAATACTTGATCTCTGGACTTTGAAGGTGATTTTGGCCTGCCACACTCCTATCAGTGAAGTTACCTGAGGAATAACCTTCAACAGTGCCCATGAGAAGCATGACTACATGCGATTATACTGAACATACAATACAACATTCCTCCCTTCAGTCTGTGTACACATACAGCCTCCTTTGGCCAATAATGAAGACAGCATAATGTGTCCAATTAGATCTGAGGAAGAGGAATGAAATACGGAAGTCACATTATAACAACTTTGTCACTTCTAATCACACAAGTTGTATTCTGGTTTCTACCAGACCATTTTGACCTTGGTCAGCATAAGTTAGTAGGTGAAATTTCATCAGGCATTTATTGGAGGTCTTGACTAAAGCGAAGAACCAATTTGTATTAAGAAAGAGTGGACAGGAAACCAAGTGTATTTAAAGAGACCAGTCTGCTATGTATACTGGCTAAGTGTGAGTGGAAAAGACTCTAGGACACAAAATTACCTTTCATGCCATAATAGGAAAAACGCTCACAGAATTCATTCACCACAATGAAGGCGATGCTCAGGGGATAGCTGGAGCCACAGATTTTCTGTGTAAGAAAAAGGCAATGGTTTAAGCACAAGCTGTTTTCCCATTTCAACTACTAGATTGCTCCAAAATTTTATTTATTTTTAAATAGTCGTGGTAGGTAATATAGAGCAATGGTCTCTACTCTCTTAAAACAGTTACTATCCCACCAGAAGTGCTTACATTACTGATTTAGAAGCTAATCTAAATATTATTTTGTTCTTCATTTAACCTGGAGCTACTCAGATATCTTTTGATCCAAGACCTGGTCTTTCTTCCCACAACTGCCAAGTGAAAAGCTGAGGCTCTGGTTAACAGAATAATCATGCTTGTTGCTAGGAGTATAATGACAAGCTGGTCTGTGAAGTACCCAATATCAAGAATACTAGATTTTGATATCGGTGTTCTGTTTAGCTTCCCTGTAGGGAATAACTCCTCTTGTCCCCAACTGCCTTGTTCACCGTGCTGGGAGGAATCCTTGCCCTTCAGAGATTGCTGGAGTGAGGCAACAGAACTCAGTATCAAGGAGAGAGATTCCTAAAGTTAAGCTGATTAACCACAGACTTTGGGCAGAGAGTTCTGAAATCTTGTAAAAATTTTTTTTCTTTTTTTTTTTAATCTTGTAAAATTAAATGTCAACTGTTGATGAAAGAGAGAGACAGAGACAGATACAGAGAGAGAGAGAGAGTCTGTGTGTAAGCATCCTTAAATTCTTTGGAATCAGAAGACATATATTAACCAAATAGATATTATAATACATGATAATAACTTGTTTACATACACAACGAACCAGATTTGTTACCTTCCTAGCTCATAGCTTGAGAGCTGTACAATGTACAGTTTAGTTAACATACTGTCACTAACTGTGTAACACTGTCACCGACTGCAAGATAAATCAGTCCATTTTGGCCCTGGTGCCGTCACCAGGCCTGCTTGTATCTCAGGTCAGTTATTATTCCCAGAAAATGAGAGTAATACTTTTTCTTAGTTCATAGCAAGAACTCATCAAATGTTGGCTACCATTACTAAAACTTCTCTATAGGATTTTGATAGGAGGACTGAATGAAATTATAAATTTGGAAATACTCTAACAACTAGATAACGTAAGACATTAGGTGCTGTTTCTCTTTCTTATCTCCTACTAAAAACTGAGTATACTTAGGAACAGATTGAATCTATTCTAACACTTCTGATAGTATCTGGAAGAAGATTCTGTACACAGGAGGAACTAAAAGCTGGGTTTTAAAAAAAGGAACAATCATACACAGTTCTCCAGGCAGAAATGCTTGCCAAATTTCCCTGGACATTATACTTGCTTTTCTTTCCGTGCCTGAGAAACTCAGAATATGCAGTGAAACTCACAGCAAAGCCCTGAATCCCAATTGAGGACCTCTGGCTCCCTCTTCCTGATGCTTCCTCTGCTAAGGAAAAAAAATTTCCACTTAGATTTGGTTTTCAGGTGAATTGGAACTGTATGAGAGAATAGTTTTTATACCAGAATACAGTTCAGCCTGAAGTTCTAGAAGCCGAAGAGGCAAGATAAGAAAACAAGGCTGTGACTGTCAGAAACAGAACTAAACTGGGGGACTCACCGGAGGTGACTGCTTGGGCGGGCTGGGAGCTCTAGGCGGCACCTCTTCAGTAGAAACAGGTGAAAAAAGAGTCTGCTTGGACTCATTTTTCTGGAAAGGATTCATGGCTGGCTCCTTACTCTTTCTCCTCAAGCATTTGGCTTCAGTAGGCAGTTAGGACAGTTGCCAGCCTACAGTGAAAAGGGGGACGGGGAGGAGGAGGGGTGGCGACAGCAACTAGGTTTAACCCTGTGGTTGTCAGCTAAACGGCTGCCTACTCAGATATAGGGAAAAAGGAGTGGAGCACAAAAGAAAGATTGTGCAAAAGGTAAAGCATGAGGAAGTGAAAACAGCCTGTCAAAGTCATGGGACGGGATGAAAAAATGTCAGAAAAATTAACTTTGTAAATGTGTTTAGAATACTTAAGAATGCAACATCTTGAGCATACATACATACCATTTCGGATGCTACGTATTGGACAACTGTTTTATGCAAGATTAATGTATATATAAATTACATACAAGTTATATGTATTTATTCTAACTCTTATTATTATCTCTATTTTACAGAAAGTAATGTTCCAGGAGGTTAAATAACTTACCCCAAATCACATGGCCAGATAGCAGATGTGAAAGACAGAGATTAACATCAGTAACTACTTTGATAATTATTCAGGTATGGAAACTATGTAAATGGAAATGTAGGAATTTAGGGTAGTTGAAATGATTTGAAGAGAGAAAGTCGCCACAAAACTAAATTTGAAAGACAAAAAAAGGTGTTTATTTTGGTTTTCTTCATCATTAAACTCAGCAAGAAAGAGCCTAAAAAGCAATTTAAAAGATGGGACTCAGAAAAGTGTTGGTGATATATACTTGAGAAATAATTTTTTTGCTTTGCTAACATCACTTATTGTTTCATTTTTTTTTCATTTCAAGATAAACCGATCCATCTTTTCACGTAAAACAGAAATTTTAATTTGTGCAAAAATTATCAGTGAGTCACTTTCTAGGTACCTTTGCAAACATTTTCCTTGGTTTTTAGTGGATGAACTCCTTTATGACTCTAGAATATCATATTTAGTCCCATCAGAAGAGAAACAAGAACAAGCATGATGACAATAGATGGATTTTATGCTGCGTTATTTTTACTAAGTCAAAGAGAATGACAAAAGAATGTGTTTTCAATCAAAAGAAAAAGAGAAAAATGGCTAACATTCGTGAAGGCTGAACCACAAAGAGGCCAGGCAACACTAAAATGTATCATTTTATTTGCAACAAGAGAGAAAAATCTCTAACCCTGACCTTTGCAAAATTCTTACATTTTCTACCTAAATAATTTATCAACACATGAAACTTTTCTTCCCTAAACTTTAACTCAGATTTTGACCATGTTTTCTCAGCTTTTCTTAAACTCATTTCTCTCCCTCGCCAACCTTTACCCAAAGAATAATCCAGCTTCATCCCTGACTGTAGCATTAATGATTAATCTGTGGTTTTTCTTCTAAGAAATATTTCCTTTTCTGACTTATTTTGTTTAATGACTCTGAATGCAAAACAAACAAGCAGAGATTACTAGTCAACCTAGCTAGTAAAGATACAGATACGTAGGCCAGTGATTCCTCCTGTGCAGTTCTTGTACCTTTTGGCTCTTGAGCTGGCAGAGGAGAGGTAATAGCTCGTGTATGCCATGCAGCACTCATTTGTAGTCATAGGTGCCTCAAATGCCAAACCGCAGAGTACACATGTTCATTTCTAACATTCCTTTGTTTGTTTGAAATTCTTTCCATTCTGGCAATAGAGTGATAGTATTCACACAAACAAGGAATATGGGAGATAAAAGGGATCTTGATTTTTATCTTACATAAACAAAACTTCACTGAGAAGAATAATTTGGGGCAAAGCCTTTCCCTTGAAAATTCCAATTCAGTAAATCTCACTAGGGACCTAAGAATCAGCATTTTAAAATTAATTTTGTGGTGTATTTTACACATACATGATGAACACATTCATTTGAGGAAGTTTGTACCTGTACATATTTCTTGATTCTTTTGTCCCAAATGTCTCTCCTCCCTTCAACTCCTCTTCACCTCCTTATTTATAAAATCTTTATTTCCATTTTCTTCCTTTGAGTCTTTTTTCTTTTCCTTTCTTTACTTTTCCTTCCCTGTCCTTCCCATATGAATATTTTCTTCCTATTTCCTAGTATGTGTTATATATTTTTGTTCTCATTTACCCTTTCAGTTTCTCCCACCAGAGAAACAATATATTTAAACATGTGCCTCAGATTTATTTCATTTAAGAGTATGCATTTTTTTTGCCTTTTTCCCTTCCTCTCCCTCCCTCCCTAGTTCTCTTTTCTTTTGAACAATTTTTTTCCTGTTTCACAAGACCTGTTATTCATTTTGCTCCTTATTTACATATTCAGTATCATACAGAGAAACAATGAGATATTTACACATGTGAGTCTGATTTATTTCACTTGAGTATAAAGAATCTGTATTTTTAATAAGCACTTCTACTGGTTTTTACTAGAGGAATTTAGAAAACACTCTTATTCTAGCCTGAAGAATGTTTCAGAGAAGCTCAAATAGGACAGAGCAAAAACTAGAACTCTATGCTCCCAAAACATAATCTAAAACTTTCTATACTACATCAACATGCCTTTGATACTTTATTATTTTGCTAGTAGCTGACATAAGTAGTATTTTTAAAAAAGACAAAAGACAGATATCTCATGTAGGAATGAGTATAAACTCTTTAGATACACGAAAGTGGAAGAATCTAAATATTTTAATCAAATATCAGTGACAAAAGAATATTTCCAGCCTAATGATTAGTTATACTTATGTGTACTGCCAAAGTGAGCACTTGATTAGTTTTATGTAGAAAGGAGATTGAAGCTCTAAAATGATAGATATCAATAGAAAGAAGACAAAAACATGAAATTAAAAAAGAATGTATGATTAACAAGGCCCTTGACTATAAAATCAGGAAATATAAAAGTATACTTAAATACAAGCAACAAAGACATAGAAAAGGAAATTTTAAAATGATGCCACTTTTAATAGTATAAAAACACCTAAAAATAAGTGTGGTGAAAAACATTTAAGAACTCAACACTAAAATCTATAAAATGGTACTGAAGAAAATTATTCCATTTACTGAAGAAGATCCCAGTAAACAGAGACATATATACTTATGATTTGGAAGGACTGTATTATAAAGACATCAGTTTTCTCCAGTTCAACCTACAGTTTCCACACAGAACCCCAGCAAGCTTTGTGACTATAGAAAATGACAATTTGACTTTTTTACACTTTTTTATTTTTCTTTTTTCTTTTTATCGGTACCGGGGATTGAACGACCGCCTGCTTGCAAAGCAGGTGCTTATGCCACTGAGCTAGATCCCCAGCCCCTGACAATTTGACTTTTAAAAATCATATAGAAATATAAAAGTCCAAGAATAGCAAAGTCAAACTTGAAGAACAATTGTGAAGGACTTGTACTTTGCAATTTGTGACCTGTTCAAAAACAAAAGTAATTAGAGGGGCTGGGGATTTAGCTCAGTGGTATAAGCACCTGCCTTGCAAGCAGGCGGTCGTGAGTTCGATCCCCGGTACCAATAAAAATGAAAAAGGCAAAAAAAAAAAAAAGTAATTAGAACAGAAACAACATAAAGACAACCAAAGCAATCAGTGTAACAAAACAGAGTTCAGAGAAAAATCCACACATGCTCTTTATAACAAAGGTGACACTCTGGTGCAGAATGAAAAAATAATGATGTTGTCAATAAGCACCCTCTGCATATCCCTATGAGAAAACTTATTTGGACACTTTTATGATACATGCAAATCAAGTCTATATAAATTATGGATCTAAATATTAAAGTTTTTAGAGAAAACCATAAAAAACAATATCTTAATATCTATGCAGTATGACAAAATTTCTTAAAACATAAAATAGGATAACCATAAAAGAAAATTTGGTGTGTTGAACAATATTAAAATTAAGAATTTGTTTACCAAAACATTACTGATAATGAAAGGAGGGCTGGAGATGTAGCTGATTGGTAGAGTGCTTGTCTAGCATGCACAAGGATCTTGCTTCAATTCTCAGTATCACCCACACACACAATCTTACTTTTTGTTTTGGTTTTGGTACTGGGTGAAAGAGTTTTGGCCCAGACAGGACTCTGTAGCCAGAAAAATCTCAGCCACCAGGGAGCTCCTATCTCCCCCAACTGTAGGGATTCACCCGTGACTCTATCTCCCCCCACCCTTAGGAATCTGCCCCTGGCGCCAAACGTGTGCCAATGAGATACCTGTGCATCTCTAATGGCCCTACAGTGCTACCCTAAGCTTAGGCTACTTATATACCCCCTCACACCACATATCCGCCAGAGAGAAAGCCGACTCCAGTGGTCGGAGGTGTTGGTTTTTCTCTCTCCGTGTTCTCAGAATAAAGGCCTCTTTTGTTTTATACTTCTCATCTTTTGGATATAATCTTATCACTGGGGATTGAACTTATGACATCATGCTTGCCAGGCAGGTGCTTGTGCCGCTGCTATATCCCGAGCCCTTCAGTGCTACAAAATGTAAAAAAATATTTTCATTGTGAATAAAGGATCTGTGTCCACAATGTCAAAATTGCCCCCAAAGTCAGTAATAAAAGGATGGATAGGTGAATGGAAAAAAGTTCAAAGGATATAAACAGGTATTTCACAATGAGGATACCTAACTATCCCATAAATCTATGAATGGATTAACTGCTTTATGAATGTAGATATAGGTTATTTAAGTAGTTTTCAATTGATGCATATACAGCTTTTGTCTTGTGATAGTATAATACAATAATAACATGACACGTAAGATAAATTTCTTTGTAAGATAAACTTCAAGAAGTGAAACTGTTGAGTCAAAGTACATGCTTTTGTAAGCTTTCAAACTGCCAATAATTTTCTTGCCCTTTTTTTCTAACTTTAAGATGTTTTTATTGTAGTGTCCCTGCACTATCCTGAGCCCCGGGAGTTTTAAGATCATTGCTCCCACTGGCCAGGGAGGTTCACGGCTTCCTGCTGCATTCAACCAGCTCAGCAGGTCTTGAGCCTGCCTGCACCAACTTCCCGGCTTCCTGCCGTGCTCCACTGGCTCTGGGGATCTTGGACCTGCCTGCACCTCAATTCTGCAGACTGGGTAGCCTGGGGTGAGTGTCTCTGAACCATCCTGAGCCCCAGG